TGTGTGTGTGTGTGTGTGTGTGTATGTGCACATGTGTGTGTGGCTTTGAGCTAAGGCGCAGGTGAGGAAGGTAAGAAGGACAGTCTCAGATGTTGGTCCTTGCCTTCTATTTTATTGGAGACAGGCTCTTATTGTTCATGGCAAGCCAGATGAACTGTGAGCTTCTGGGGGATCTACCTGCTTTTTCCCTGCCTCCAGCAATGTGGGAGCCTGCTCTGGTATTAGAGATGTGTGCTAACAGCTATGTACGTGTGCTGGGAATCTGAACTTAGGATCACATCGGTGGCTATCTTCCCAGCCCTAAGTTTGGGATTTGGAATCTATTATAAGTAAAACACTCTTATATTTTCTTAAAGGGATTTTGTAGTTTTCAGTTTTTCTCTGGATCTAAAACTGTTTGCCTATGAATACCCTGGGGGGTTTCTGAAAACTAAGTTGATGATTGAATAGGTCCAGGTTAGTGTCGGACAGTTAGTCTTTTATATATGTGTATGGGGGCAGGGAGGGTGGGTGGATGGGCAAATGTGGATGTGGTGGTGTGAGTTCTGGAGTCTACCCAGGATCTTGTGTGTGACAAGTGCTCTAATATCAAACTTTTACTCCAAAGAGCCATCAGCTAGGGCTCCGTTGCTGGCATACATGGAGCACCTCTTTTGAGAGGTGTGAGTGTACATGATACACTGTGTATATAGTCTTATTCAAGTTCTCAGATGATTGACAGATGAGGTCTTTTCCAGTGGCTGTATTCTTGCATATTTTTCCTGTATCTCATTCCCATGTTTGCTTGTGTCTTTGTCTTTCTCTTTGATTAGATTAATTCATAGCTTATCTACTTTATTGTCTTCCCTCAAAGAACCAGCCTTTAGATTTATTTATTAATTCTGATGTTTCTGCGCTCTTTAATGAGATGATTTCCTCTTTGATTTTTACTTTGCCCTCTGTTCTGCCTCTCTCTCCTTTGCATTGTCTCCTAAGTTTACATACTAATTTCTTGACTCTTATTTTAGTTCTCTCTCAGTGACTCAAAAGCATTTAAGGCTCTGAAATTTAGGTTGGGTGTGCGTTGGCCAATCTCCATGTATTTGATGTGTGCTGCACTCAGTATTGCTGTTCTCTAAAATTCTGTAATTGCTATTTTGGTTTTTTTTTTTTTTGACCTGAGAACTATTTTCAAGCTGCTGGAATAATTATTCTGTTCTACTTTTGAAATTAATTTCTGGTTTCTTATAGTGGGAGAGGAGGGTATAATCTATATTACTAATTTCTTTTTTAGAAATTTAATGGGATTTTCTTGGTGGTTGCATATTGGCTGATTATATAACTGTTTAGTGGGCATTTGTAACACACTCATTTATTTATTTGCAGTATGTAAAGCATGAATAAAGCTTTCACATTGGTTTTTAATAATATTAATCACATTCTCTAATTCTTATTATAATAGTGTGCAATCTTTGCCATTATTACTTTCATTCCTGTATCTTGAATTTACAATAGATTCAATCATACCCTTTCTATTCTTTGTTTTCTTCAGATAGAGTATCACTATATAACCCAGGCTTGACCCAAGTCTCTATTTTCCTGCCTCTACTTCCCAAGTCCTGGAACCACAGACAGACACTATTGCATGCACTTAGTTTTGCAACAGTTTCTTTACAATAATGATGCTGTGTAATTGTGACTATGAATATTTTGATATTTATGTATTTTTCTTGATTGTGCCATTTGTCAATTTGAAAGTAACCTTATTAAAAATACAACTTAATGTTCTTGTGTTTACAGAATCCCGTTTATTAACCCAGAGACTCATTTCTGCCTTCGTAGTATGTGATTTTTTTTTTTTTTAGTTTGGATTTTGTCTTTATCCATCTTTCATCTTTGTGTGTGCGCATGTTTGGGTGTGGAGATGAATGCACTCAGATGAGCATGTTCATGAGAGCCAGAGTTTGATGTTGTATCTCTTCTTTAGTGACTCTCCATCTTAATTTTTGAGAGAACATCTCTCACTGAACCTGGAGCTCACCAATCCAGCTAGTTTGGCTGGCCAGCAATCCCTAGATATCCTTTGGTTTTTACCTCATAACCCCAGGATTACAGGTGCACATTGCCACAAACTGCTGGGGTGTGTGTGTGCACGTGTGTATGTACATGGTTTACAGGGGTTTGAACTTGGGCTCTCATGCTGCAGTGAACATTTTGCTGATTGAGCCATCCCCTCTGCCTTATTTTGAATCTTGGAGTTGGAGTTTAGACCCTCTTCTTGGTAAACATGTACATATTTTTTATCAGTCTGGAGTTCGTTTTGAAATTCTTTTCCTGTTGAGTTTATAGTGAGTTTATCTATGTGTGATGACGCATCTGCATTTGGCTGGATTCAGAACGCTCAGGATTGGGATTACCAGTGAGGGTATAAGCAGGAAAGTCTAACTGAGTTAGAAGATCCACTCTGAGTATGAATGGTACCAGCAATAGTCTGGGCTCCTGAATGCAATAAAAAGGGAAAAATGATGATTTTGGCTATCTTTCTCTATCGCTTTCCACTTTACTATTTTTGAACCAGGCTCTCCCATTCAATTTGGAGCTCATCCTTTCCAGGGCTGGTTGGTCAGTGAAGCACCAGGATCCTCCTGTCTCCACCCTGCAGCAGTGGAGTGATGGATACTCACACACATCCACTCCTGGTTTATTATGGAGGTGCTGGGATCTGAGTTCAGGTCCTCACAGATCCTGTGCAGCTTGGTGCAGTGAGCCCTCCCTCACTGAGCCTCTGAGCCTTACTGAGAGCTTCCTGTGTAAGTCCATCAATAATCAGGCTTCCTTGAAAACCATGGACAGTTTCTTTTGAGATATCACTGATTGGAGTCTCTACCTCAATTTCTTAATTCCTTTCTGAAGGACAGGGTATACATTGCAAATCCCTGATTGATTGATTGATTGATTGATTGATTGATTGATTTTTGCCTATAACATTACCAAGTTGTTTTTATCCAGCTACCAAACACTTCCAGATTCCTCTAGAATTCCAGGCTTGCATTCCCCTCTATTGTTGGCTCTGCTCCTCATGTATTCTGGAAAGATCCATTTCTTTCGCTCACTTTCTTCCTTCTGTCATTCCACTTTCTCATCATACTTCAGATTTTGATTTAACGTTTTCTGACTCTCTAGTTTCTTTAAGAGTTCAGATGGTTGCTGTCACACACATCCGCTCCTCCTTTTCTGGAGTTCGTCTTCATGAAACTTACAATCTCAGAAATGCAAACCTACAATCCATTTTTAAACATTGTGGGTTTTATTTTTGGTTTTGCTTTTGTTGTTTGTTTTTTCTTTTAGTTTTTTTTTCCCCCAGAAATGTTATATGAGCATCATTTGTGCATTGTTTTAGCTTACTTTTTAAAAATTGCCTTTTTAACTCATTGTAAAGTGGAACTTTGTATTTTAGATCTGTTACTGATTGTAAGCTCCTGTGGTTGAGTTTTCTTTGATAATGCAGCTTGCTTTCTTGGTGCCATCAAATCTCCTATAAAACCAGAGATGAGGGCCAGCTTTGAGGTTTGCCTTCAGTTTTGAGTTTTCTATCCTTTTGAGAGGCTGGAGAAGAAGAAAGAGTTGGCTCATTGACACTATAGAGTTCTGTGTTAGTAGACTCTACAATATTTTCTATTCCCTGTCTGTCTGTCTCTGTATGTGTGTGTGTCTCCTCCCTCCCTCTCCCTCTCCCTCTCCCTCTCCCTCTCCCTCTCCCTCTCCCTCTCCCTCTCCCTCTCCCTCTCCCTCTCCCTCTCCCTCTCCCTCCCTCCCTCCCTCCCCCCCTCTCTCTTTCCACCTTTATCTCTGCAAGCATTTCATCCAGTCTTAAAAGCCAGTGATATGAGTATGTACCATGTCTCAGGATGAGATGAAGGATCCAAATTGCCCCCCACCCCACCCCCGCAATCCACACTGTCTTAAAAACCTATCATATGGGTAAGTAATCCTCTCTCTCCCTCTTTTTTTTTTAACAAAATAAGACAAAACCCACTGAGACATATATGGCTCCTATTAGGAATGTCAGGAGGATTTTTAGCCCCTTCCTGACTCCAATTTGGTGTTGTTTTCAGAATAGCCAGTTCCATCACAAAAGTAAAAGATTCTGATTGTATAAATCTCTGAAAGTGATTTTAAAATACCCAGAGATGGATACAAAAGCCCATTATCATCTCACCACACAGAAATAACAGCTGTTTACCTTCTGACACTGGTGTGTTTGTGTGTGTGTGTATTAATATAATGTGGATAATATACATGCGGTTTGGAAATTTTATTTGCTTTTGCTTAGCAACATACCTTAGCAAATTTCCTGTGTCTAAATCTTCTTCTTACTTTTCATCATCAGTTTTAATACCTTTCTTCCTCTGTGCTTACCCATGTTTTTCAGTTGCCTGCAAAGAAATATTATTTATAATAACTGAACAAAAGGCCAAGCTAGGGGACAAACAGGTTGTATCATGCTATACACTTAAAAAATAAATGGAGCATCTGGTTATCATGGGGAATTGTGAGGAAGCAGTGGGTGGTACTAGCATGCTTCTGCACATTTGTACCTTTACATGGACACATGTGTGCCTGTCTATGACAGCAGCAGACAGGATACAGCAGGTGTCAAGAATCTACACTCATCTGGGTGGTGGTGGCAATGCCTTTAATCCCAGAACTGGAGAGGCAGAGGCAAGTGGATCTCTGTGAGTTGGAGGCCATCCTGGTCTACAGAGCAAGTTCCAGGACAGCCAGGACTACATAGAAAAACCCTGTCTCATAAAACAAACAAGCAAACAAAATCCATTCCCAGTGTGTGACGGGATGGGGGCATTAGATTACCACACTAGTCTTCCTTAACTACAAAGCAGGAGATGTCACATCTTCCCCTACATGTCTTCCGGAGGAACTTGATTCCTAAAAGGCTAGTGCAATTGCTTACCAAATGACAAATTCCATGTACCACGTAGTGATAACGAGGGATAATGAGAATGATGAAAGTCCATTCTACTAGGTTTATCGGCACCAACCCTGTAGAAGCCAGGATGGGTAAACCACTGCAGGAGCCCCACAGTTGGCAGGAGTCCAGCCCCCTGCAGGAGCCTCCCACCTTCAGGAGCCCCGCCCCCTGCAGGAGCCTCCCACCTTCAGGAGCCCCGCCCCCTGCAGGAGCCTCCCACCTTCAGGAGCCCCGCCCCCTACAGGAGCCTCCCACCTTCAGGAGCCCCGCCCTCTGCAGGAACACTATCCTCTACAGGAGCATCGCCCTCTGCAGAAGAGACTTGTTAGGCAAGTTTCATTTTTTCTTTAATCAATGATCTTCTGGGTGACAGTGCATGCCTCCTCTCATCACTCTGATATGATTAATTCATTCATCATGTTAGACTGATTTAATTATTTATTATGTCGTTTTGTTTATTTAATTTGCATATCAATGGCCAGGGTGCAGCATAGCCCTGCTTCCTGCAGAATCATACTAAGAAACCTGATGCAGGTTCTAGGTGTGGGGGTTGGGGGAACTTTCTTATAATTGAATACTTAGGTGCTTACAGGCAACAGCTAAAAGTTTTTTCCAACTTGATGGGCATCCAGCTCATTCTTGATCATTCCAGGAAGACAGTGAGCTGTAAATTATGTATTCTCATCTATTCTCTGGTCAATGTTGGCATATTTTACCCTCCCACAGAGAGGGAAGCTGTTCTCTTGAGACACAACTATCTCAAACTCGTGGTCCTTGATTTCAAGGAGAAACAACATCAGTCGTTGTTGTCTGGCTCCTTGTCTCTGGATTCTCTATGTTAAATACACAGACTCTAGTAGGAGGGGGTCCTAAAGAGACATTGTTCATACTTCCATCTCCAGATCCCCAGTTTGAGGCAGTAGGAGGAAGTTAATACTTTTTTTTCTTTCCTACTTGGTCATCAGCATCTTATGAAGTGATCTAGGGCTGAGCCTGGACATGACAGTTATTAGTGTGACTCTGGTGAACCACTGAGAGTAACTCAAATCTCCCAGACATTTTTATTGTCATTTTGTGGTCTCCCTCTGTGTTCCTGCCATGGTCATAACAGGCCACCTAGGCACTTGGTAAATCAAGATATTAGCTGTGGATGTTGTTCATGAGTGTGTCTTTTGGGTGGCACTTGGTAGAAAGCTTGCCTCTGCCCTGCAGTATCTCCTGGGACAGTTGGGGAGTAAGGAATGCCTTGCTAGCCTGTCTACCAAGTAAGCAGTGTAGCTCAGCTGGCCTGAGGGCTGAAGGATATCAGTGGTTTTTCCTCTTGGGCTGCTTCTTCACAGCATGGAGTCATTGGGAATGCATTACCTGGCTTTTGTACCCTTGCTTTGGAAGTTACACACCACACCCATTTTATATATGTATGTTCGCAGTGTCAGCCAGGGTTAAGGGGAGGTAAACAAGAGCTTGCACATAGTGAAGGGGCTGTGCCAGAGTAGGGGAGCAGAAGAGTGTGTGGGTGGGAGATATTGCTGCTATCATCTTTGGAAAATTTGGTCTGCTTCAGTTTGTCAGAGCTTGAATGCCTTCTCCTTCTTTTATAGATGAGAACATGGAGACTTAGGGATGATGGGTGCTATCATTGCTGTGAAGAGACACCATGACCAAGGCAACTCTTATAAAGTCAAACATTCAATTGGGGCTGGCTTACAGTTTCAGAGGTTCAGTCCATTTTCTTTATAGTGGAAAATATGGCAACATGCAGGCAGACTCGGTGCTAGAGGAGCCAAGAGTTCTACATCGTGACCTTAAGACAGCTAGGAGAGACTCTTCTACAGGCAGCCAGGAGGAGGGTCTGGATTACACTGGCCAGACTTGAGCCCTCAAGCCCATGAGATCTCAAAGCTCCACCGCCATGTGACACACTTTCTCTAACAAGGGTATGCCTCCTCCAATAAGGCCACACCTCCTAATAGTGCCACTCCCCGAGGGGCCAAGATTATTCAAACCACCACAATGAGTAGTAACACCTCTATGGTCACAAGTTAAGGGGAGTGCTTGAGTTGAACTTGGCTCCTGGAATCTGGCTGTGGAGAACACACCATGGGCCATGGGTTGCCATCACAGCAAATGCTTATGGAGCTATTTAATACTCGCTGGTGTCTCTGGGTAGTGTCTATTTATGAAGCTATTGCTGTACTGTCTACTAAGCACTATGAAGCTATTACCTCACCTAAACTCTTTAACAAAATTTAAGATGGATACTTTTGTGACACTAAGACATATAGTTGTTTAAGGGCTTTGCTCAAGGTCACATAGGCCAGGGTTACAGGTGAGATTCAGAGTCAGCCTCCAGAGACAACGTGCACAGCAATATACTGTTCAGGTTCTTAAGTAGCCATGTTAGTTGGTTGTAATGACTACTCAGGGGTCCCCATTCTTCTGCACCAAAACCATGAATTCTTTCCTCATAATTATCCTCCTAGTATCCCATGTTGTCTGTGTACCCTTAGGGATACTGGAGTTGTTAAATCAATAGCAAGAAGAGTTTAGATATGCAAAGGAATCCCAACCTTGTGGTCCATGAAGAAGAATGATGTTCTCCTTATAACACTGGCCTTAGTCTCTATTTCTTCTGCACCTTCCCTGGTCAGCTTTCTCCTTCTTTCATTTCTTCTTCCTAATGAATGAACAATTGAATGAATGAATGTGGATGTGTCACAGTTCAAGGACAACTTGCAAAAATTTGTCCTTTCTTTCTACCATGTAGGTTCCTGGGATTAATTGCAGGTTGTCAGGCTTGGCTGTAAGTACTCTTGCCCAGTGAGCCACCTTCTGACCCATCTCATTCTTTATCCCAGAAGGATTTAACACATGCCACTCATACCTTTTCTACTTAGTTGCTGTATCCTATTAGCTGTGGTACCTGTGCAGAGAGAGCCTAGCTGTTTTAACCTATAACATGTGGAGACCTTATCGGGCTACTGGAAGGACTTAAAGATTGAACATGAAGAACTGAGGGTAGAACTTAGTGGTGAAGCATGTATTTAGCATATGCAAGGTCCCCAAGTTCAACTCCCAGCACCCACATGAGAAAAGTATATATGTATGAATGTAGACATAGTGACATTGGTACCATAGTTGTTGGGTTCCCACATTCCTTCTTTCTGCTAGCTCTGCCTGGTATTTCCTGAAACACCTATGATTAGAAGTTATCTCTGCCCTTCCCATGTTCAGCCATGGGGCAGAGGCAGGCTGTAGTAAGTAGGAGGTAGCAAGTTAGACTGGAAGCAGAGCAAGGGAGAGAAGAAAACCATGGGGCTCTTGATTGAGGCATTGGATTTCTGCTCTGGATTTGGGGATATGATCCTCTCCTGGAGTGTGGGATCAAATATTCCTTGCCAGGCATCCTGGAAAGACCAGAAGTTTGTCCTCACCACTGGGCACTGACCTGTCCCAGTCTCTCAAACCCAGGGAATGGCCAAAGGGCTCTTAGAGCCCAATGTTCCAGAGGAGTCAGGGACTGGGGATGATCTGAGTTCTTAAGTGAGTTACCACAAGGCTGAGCCAGCTCATCTTACAGATTTGTGAGGCAGAAGCAAACCTGAAACCAGGCTCTTCTGAATGCCCTGTACCTATTCCCTTCTCTTTCCTGTAATTCTTTCAACACATGCCCTGACTTAAAATAGAATCACTGGTTTTATTTCTGTTTTAAACCATTTATCCATTAACCTTGAGTAATGTTACATGAGAGACTATATACTTGAACCACCCAGCTTAGCGACTTCCAAATTCTCTATCGATAGAAACTGTGAGATAATAAGTAATCCATTATTTTAAGCCACTAGGATCTGGGGTAATTTGTTATGTAGCAGTGGATAACTATCACAATATAAAATTCTCATTGTTCATTGCTCTTTATTAGCTCTGGTCTCTAACCACTTCAGTGTGTGCTCCCGCATTTCCATTTATTCTTTAAGGATCCATCTTAAGAGATTGTTGAATATTGTAAAAGTACTATTTGTTATCACAATGAAGAATTGTGTGTGTGTGGGGGGCTATATCTCTGTATGGACACAGGTGTGGTGCACACCAATGTGTCCATGTGAGAGCCAGAGGAAGATATCAGTGTCATGCTCTGTTGATGGCTGTCTGCCTTGTATCCTTAAGACAGGGCCTCTCACTGAACCTGGAGTTAGGCTAGCAGCCAGCAAGCCCTGCTAACCCCCTGTCTCCACATTCTGTAATGTGGGGGTTATAGGCATGGCCATGGGCCATGGGTGCTGGAGATTTGAACTCAAGTTCTCATCTTTGCACAACAAACATCCTCGCCTAAACCCTAGACCCTGGAGAATCTTTCTTTCAGATTTTTTTACTTTCAAATTTTATACTCGCAGACCAGGAAGATGGTTCAATTAGTAAAATGCTTGCCATGCAAACATGATGACCTGAGTTGAGATCCCCAATATTCACATAAAAAAAAATCCAGATGTGGGGCACTAGAGAGCTGGCTCAGTGGTTAAGAGCACTTGCTGCTCTTCCAGAGGACCTGGGTTCGATTTCCAGCACCAACACTACTGTTTACAACCATCTGTGACCTCAGTACCAGGGGAGTCAATGCTCTCTTCTGGACTCCAAGGGTACCAGGCATGCAAGTGGTGCATAGACATACATGCAGGCAAAATAAACCACACACATTTAGAAATGTAGTGGCATCCGCTTATAAACCCAGTACTGGGATACTGGAACTCCCTGGCCATTTAGTATAGCTGGGTCAGTGAGCTTGAGGTTTAGGGAGAGACCCCGTCTCAAAAAACAAGGTGGCTGATCCCAGATGAATGACACCCAAGGTTGCTCTCTTGCCTCCATAGATACATATATATATATATGTATGTATACATATGCATATATATATATATATACATATGCACACAGACATATACACAACATGCATAAGCACACATATACGCCATTTTAGCTTATTTTAAAATTGAATTTACAGGGGCTGGAAAAATGGCTTGAGATGGCTTGATGGTTAAAATTGATTTTGCAGAAGACCTATATTCAATTCTCAGCATCCATATCAGGCAGCTTACAACACCCTATAATTCTAGTTCTAGGCAATCTGACCAACCTCTGCTCTCCACAAACGCCTTCACTCACATACACACACCCACATACAGACACGTGCACACATCCTGCCCACAAACACACTTAATTTAAAAATAAATCTTTAAAATAAAATTCGCCATTCTTGGCATGTCCAGGCTAGCATCGGATTTTATGAACTCATTAAGAGTTTTCCCTAAGAAAAAATGATTGCTTCTGTTTG